CTAGGGTACACACAACACTATAACCATGTAACAATAAACTGGGGAAAAACTGGGGATAACAGGGGAAACTGTCCAGTCCATTGTAAAGCCATATCCAGTAGATAAATGTCCATTTCGGTGTAATTGCGTTTCATTCTGGGTTGTATATCTGTCTCCAAGTTTGGAACTGTTTCCATTCATCTCCATGGTCCCCAACAGGGGACCACAGGATGCCCCTAGGCATTCATGTACAAACCTGTGCTGGATGCATGTCCAAAATGGGAATTACAAAGGCTAGTCTCTTTTTTAACTGTTTTCTGCTGTTCTTGTATCCAGACACCTGGAGACTGGCAGTCCCAGGCAGCAACTACCTGCCAGTGGCACCAATGTTTTGCCCCTGCCTGGTTGCAGCATGAGAAAATGCCTGAAACCACCATTATTTGGTAGTGTGCCTGCACGCAGGTTTACAGCTAATGTGCAGCATGATGTACCCAGATGCTATGGTGTGGTTTTAGTGCCTTCCCTACATCTAAGAGTGAAGCTTATGAAGCTTCTTCCTCTTGGGCTTCACAGTGAGGCAACTCTGCGCTAGGTATGCTGGGGCTGGTTGGCAGCAGAGAGTGGTGTCAACATCTGGACCTACACACGTAGAATAAATGTATCTGAGGACCTCATCAAAACTAAAATTGAAAAGAAATCAAGAAATTATTACACAGGTTTGTAGCCATCCCAGGACCCTTTTGTCATTGTGTTTCCTCAGCTTTCTTCCCCAACCTAAATTAGAGTGCAGTTCAGTATTTCTATACTAATAGCTTGGGTACCCCAACTATCCCACCATGTTTACAAGTTGCTTATTTAACCAGATTGTCTAGTTGATCTGGATTACCTTTTTCCACCTCTTTGCTTTTTGGGAAAGTGTCATGGTTTGAGATAGCCCCAAAAATCCAATCCCCTAGTCTAAGCCCCCTCCCACATCTCAACCTAATGTGAGATGGGTTTTTCCAGACAAAACATACCAGAGTCCAAATGGGGAAAGGGAATATAATACAATGACTGTACAAATAAATACCATATCACATTATACACACGATCACAATATCTCTACCATGACATATGTATTTACAATGGACCAGATCTCTTCTCCCCTCCAAATAAAAGTCCAGGAGGGAAAGAAGGACAGATCCCTTCCAGTCTCTAAACAGCAGGAGTATCTTCCCAGGCAGCAGGTTTCTTCTTCTCATGCATGCAGCAGCTGTGGCTGGCTTTCTGCCAGCACTCATGAGGGAGGGATCCAAGCTCCCTCGGCCCCCTTGATGCAGGCAAAGGGGTCTTCTGTGGGCTTCGTCACCCCAGACAAGGTCGTTTCACCACGGTCATATCACGAGACGCAGGGGGTCTTCGTGACAGTCTGGTATCTCCAGGAGACTCAAGCTCCTGCAGGGCCTCTGTGCCCTGTTCTCAGGCTGCCACCGTGGCAGCAGTGCGAGTGGGGAGCCAAGGTCAACTCCCCCTCTGCATTCCATCTGGCCGTCCCGGTCCAGCCCCAGGACGTCTTTTGAGCTTCTTAGCTCCTCTCTCTCCGGTGCTGCTGTACAAAACTACTCTCCAAAAATAGGAGTCCATCTCCCTCTTTTTCAAGAGGGATCTCAAGGGAGTTTTGGGGTCTGGTATCAGTCTTACCCCAAACTCTGTAGCTCTGCTGCTGGCTCTCTCTCTCTCTCCCTTTCCAGGAGTCCTTTCTGCGATGCTGCATGTCTCTGTTGCTTCTCAGGTTCAGGTCTTATCTGTCCTGGCTCTTAGCCAGAGTCTCCGGACGCTGCGTCTCTGCTTTCTGCTCTGTCTCCGCTGCCCACTTTGGAGAAAACATCTCCCGGCTTAACTACAGACTTTTAGTCCAGTCTAGCACTGTTCCAAGTCTCTGTAGCCCCCAACTGGGGCTGGGGGGCCCCAGAGGCCCCGAGGGGCTCAGAGCCCCTTCCTCGTGGCTCTACAACTTGGCCACCTCTCCTCAACCACAACCCAAACTAAAAAACTTGTCTCTTCCGGTGAGCTTGTGATATGTTTACATTTTTGCAGGAGCACCCACTGGGCAAAACTTCAAAACTTCCAGGGGTTTCCACCCCTTGGGGTCTACCACTTTTCAGCCTCTGGGGGAAAAACCAAGGTCCAAACCACCACAGAAAGGAATGGATGTGCATGTGTCTTTTTTTTTTTTTTTTTTTTTAATTTAACCTAGCTAGTTTCACTGGATGTACTTATACCACACACCTCAAATTGGTTGCATAAACCCAGCTTGGGGATCAGGGACAAGTGGGCAGAAGAAACTGTTAATCTCTTAAACTGGTTTAGTTACCAGAAGCAGTGACATTAAAAGAGTCATCTTATGTTGCTGGTTAATTAAAATAAATACCTACTCTTTAACCCTTTTACGTATTTATGTACAGCAGCAGAACCCAGAGTGTATTTCTATATACGTGGTTTTAAAAGAAAAAATAAGCACTAAAAACAACAGAAGGCACACAGAAATAATGCATAGGTGTGATAACATAATAACGGTTCTGTATGCACTTTTACCTGTTTTTTATATCTAATAAGCATTTACCCAGAGATTTTAATTTCTAAAGTGCTGCTTAGATGTAACACTGTGCTTCTCTCAGGTAAATACATGAATTTTGCAGGTGGGAAAACTGAGACGCAAGAGAAGATTTAATAATTTGCCTGAACAAAATAATACTGTAACAAATTTTTCTGAACCAAGCAGTAACTCACATCCTCTCCTATGGAGAAGAACTGCATTCTTGTGCCAGGACTCTCTTCAGCCACACATGGAAAATGTAGACTAGATTTTCCCTGCAGCAACCTGGGGAGCAATGGATAGCTCCAGCACTGAGGAAAAACTGTCCTGTTCAGAAACAGGGAGCACTGGAGGCTGTGCCTGTGCTAGTGGGTTTGTGCTGCTCTGCTGTGCAGTGCCGGGGGGCGTCCGGAGAAGCTGCACTAAAATACAGCGCTCGTGTTCTCAAATGGTGCATGGCCAGGCCTTGGCTGTCCTCCAGGTCCATACTGAAGCCAGTTGTGTTTGCCTGTGCAGGTAGATGTGCCCATAAAAGTGTTGGTATTTGTTGCTAAGTCTGCTTTTTAGCTGTTTGTGATATTTTCTGTGCTGTGACTGAAAGTGTGATTGCAGCGTGTACAGCTGTACGTCAGCTAGATTTAATTTAGCTAACTTCGATATTAATAGCTATGAAATTGTATTCTAAGCTATAGACATCCTCCAGGGAACCTGGCAGATTACACAGTATTGAAACTTACGTAGAGGTGTGTGTGTGTCTTTGTTGCTAACTCCACTCATGATCCCTTGAGTAGAGCTACAGGTGTGGGTGGTACGTGTCCAGTTGGTGAATAAGCATTGCCTTAGTCTGAGCAGGGGTTTTGAGCTCTAGCAGTAATGCCTAGGTTATCCGAAATTCTGAAGTGCAGTACGTATTTGTTCTGTATAGTGTTTTATACAGAAGTATGGAGGATAGGATCTGGAGTATCTTCTGGTTGTGTTTACAGTAATTGCCATCTCAAAGGTAAAGTGTGCCATGGAGAGCTGCTGAAACATGCACTATGCTGTGCTGAGCCTGAAAAAGGGAAGATCAGAGCTGTGCCTCCCCCTAGAGCAGAGATCACAACGTTGTGATGGTTGTTAAACACCTGGAAAGTTCAAATCACTGGCTTGAACTAACTCCTGGGAAAGTTTGTGCTTGTCCTGTGTTTGTGCTAGAAAAGCTGTGTGTCCTTGAGAAAAAAACCTGTCAGCTATGGGCTTTTAGATATTACCTAGGTCTTTTGTGTCTTGATAGTTAAGATTTTGAGTCTGATAGACAGTTCCCCTTCTTTACGGAAGGGAGTGAAAGACAAGCTTGAATGCTAATGGTGGCCAGTGACACCAAAGGAATAATGGTATAACAAAATTTTTTCTCATTAGCATTTTCGTTCAAGACCCAGATATATGACATTGCAGCTTTTAAGAGGGACCTGAAGGTACAAATTGGGGTGGTGAATAAGGCACGAACCCCACTCCTGGCGCAATTGAGTGCTAGAGAAGAATTAACTTTAATAAACAAGGCAGCAGTTTAAGTGCAGTGTTCAAACGAGTCACATGATCTTCCAACCAATGATAGTCAAGTATTGACTGAGCATGCGTGAGAACCTGGAAAACTACAACTCCCATAGTTCCTTAATACATTCTTCCTGCCACATCTCTTCTCTCTCTATATAATTAACAAGTTGTAAAACAATACATTTTTTTTAAACATTCTCATCACAACCAATCTTATCTTAACCATTTATAAAAACCAGGGCCTATCATTATAAGGCCTTTATTGAACTGTTTCCTTACAGGGCTGACGAGCTCCATCTGCCCGGGTCACAGCGGTGATAGTGCTGCACCCTAACCACTAGACCACCTACGTCCTGAGACCCTCACTGCCACTGTCCAAACTTGCTCGACCCCGGCAGGTGAACCTCAGGATTAAAGGGTGGGCTCAGTTCAGCGCACACTGTGTCTCACCTAAAAAATCCACTGCGCAGGCTCGAAGGGTTAATGACCTTTCCCAAATCTTCACTCGCGAAGACTGACCATACTGATACTGACTGAACTGTTTATAAATTTATTGGTTCGTGCAATATTCAAGCAACCCTTAATTACCCAGGGTTTGTAGATGTGTAAAACCTTTTATCTGAGGGTGATTTTGTGTGATTGGGTAAAGGCATCATTTTTATTTGAAAGGGAAATGTGTTGGGTTGTAGATGTTGTGTTTGAAGTAGTGTTGGTTGAGGTAGTGTTGTTGAATGAGTGTTTAAGATGTCTTTGTCATAAAATGTATTTGCGCTCACACACACGTGCATCTCCACTCAACTTTCTCATTCACATTCTGGTGGCCACTGTTCCATTCTCTCCTCACACATGCATTCTTAAACCCTTTATTGTGTTTCTATTTAAATCGTGGAGTTTTGGTTTTATATTGGTTACTGTTTCTGTGTTTCTTTTGGTTCTGTTGTATCATTTATTGCTTCTTTGTGATTGTTCCTGTTTTGAAGAAGTGTTAATGTAGATTTACGCATATAGGGACCAGACCCATATCTCTTTCCCCCTTTTTTGGTGTATTTTTATAGCATGTTTTTCACTGTGTGGCGTGTTCCTTTTACTATTGTTGGTCATATTTCTTCAAATCTAATTTCTTCACTCATTTCTTCTGTTGATTGTTTCTGTTGTGGGGGAGGGGTAATATAAGGCCTGACATATCTAGAAAGGATCCATTGTAATTTGGTACCCTTGGATACACAGGCATATCCCTTCCCCCGTGTTATGAGATCTACTGGTCCTGACCACTGCCCAGATATTAGATCTTTAATCATAACTGGTGGTTTGGAAGGTGAAAGTATTTGAGTTTTATGTTGGCGGTCATACCTGCTATGGTCTGTATCATCACGGTTTAAGAAATTTACAACATATGATGCTTTCCATAAGTGTTCCTGGGGGCTATATACTGACTCCTCTCTTTTTTGTGTTTGAAGCATTTCTTTCAGTGTGCGGTGTGCTCTTTCTACAATTGCTTGTCCTGCGGGTGAGTGTGGTATGCCTGTGGAATGGAATACCCCCCAATCTGTGAGAAATGTTTTGATTATTTCAGAACAATAAGCAGGGCCATTGTCGGTTTTTATGGTTTTTGGAATTCCCAGGATTGCAAAACAACTAAGCCAGTGTCTGTTAACATCTTTGGCTTTTTCTCCTGTGTGTGCTGTTGCATTAATGTATTTGGAATGTGTGTCTACCGTAACATGGACATATTTTAGTTTACCGAATTCAGCTATGTGTGTAATGTCTGTTTGCCAGATTTCATTGGCTGTTATGCCTCTGGGATTAACCCCTTCCTTAGATGGCATTGGGGCAACTTGCTGGCAGTCAGAGCATGACATGATTATGTCTCTGGCCTGGTTTTTAATTTGGAATTGTCTCTTTAATGAACATGCATTTTGGTGGAAGAACTGGTGTGAAAGTTTAGCCTGTTCTAGGACTTTGGGAACTGTAGTTACCATAGCGGTTGCATCTGCTCTTTGACTGCCCTCCGCTTTGGGTCCTGGAAGTTCTGTGTGTGACTGAGTGTGCATTATGTAGAAATCAAATTTTCTGTGATTAATAAGAAATCATATGGTACGAATCTCTGTGAATAAATGAGGATTAGTGACATCTCGAAGGAAGGAGGCTTCGAGATGTGAGACCAAACCTGCTGCATAGTGTGAATCTGTGACAACATTCATAGAACAAGTCAAATGCCATGGGGAGAGCCGCTAGTTCTAAAACTTGCACAGAACCTTGGTCCAAGGTTTGTACCTTATTGTCCCATTGTCCTGTGGCAGGGTTTCTCCATGTCACGGTGGCATTTCTCGATCATCCAGATGCATCATTGAAGACAGTGACTCCATTTACTGGTCGTGATTTGCAACGACGCATGGCCATCAGGGGTGGATTTCCTATTTCTGCCCAGAGTTTGTGTTTCGGGAAGTGAATGGAAACATTACCATGGAAGTCCACTAATGCAGTCTGAAACCCAGCATCCTCCGCGAGAAGCCAGTCTAAGTTGTCTTTCATGGCTGGAATGTAGATCGTCTCAGGGTTTCTTCCATCCATCCCCTGCAGATGTCCTCTACCTTTCATGACAAGCTTAGCAAACATGTCATTAATAGTCCAAACAGTCTTAGGTGGAGAGTGGGACAGAAATAACCATTCCAGAATCCTCAAGGGGTCAGATTCTGTCTGATCCCATTGGAAAAGGACGGCAAAAGGTTGGAATTTGCTGGATATGATGGCGAGGCAAATGTGCAGGTCAGAGTGTCATTGTCTGCTTTTCCTGTTTTCAGTGGCCTGGGAGTGCTGGGAGAATAGAGATCGTTTGTGAACAATTTCCTTTGCATTTCTGTAGGCCTTACTTTGGCATGGCTGGGTGCAGACAGTAAAAGAACTGCATAGCTAATATGGCTTCAGCCTTTGAAATTAGAACAAAGAAGGCTCCCAGCCAAAGTTAAGGTGGAGTTTCAAGAGGGTGAACGTGTGCCCTCAGTTCATATGGACACCTGTTGTGGTCCAGTTAGCAGTGGACAACAAAGTATGTTGCTCTTATGTATCCAATACTGTGTGAAGAAGAATCACACGTCCGGGTGTAGCAGCAGTATATAATGAGTGTTCTTCTTGTAATAAACCGACATTTTGCTGATCAAATTGGTCTGTGAGCAATCTGTCCGTGCCTCTCCACTGATATGGGAGCATACTTCCAGAGCCTGTTTTGCTTCTGGGGTTAGGGATCGAATAGATGTGAGAGTTGGGTCACCTTTAAGTAGCTCAAAGAGGGGGTGTAATTCCTCTGTTGTGATTCCTAAGACAGACCTTAGCCAATTAATGGCTCCCAAAAGCTGTTGCACATCATTCAGGGTCATAGTGTCCATTACTTTAAAAGTCAGTGGTTGTGGCATGATCTTCTGTTGAGTGATCTTCCATCTGAGGTAGGTCCATGGTTGGGTGCATTGAATTTTTTCTGGGGCAAGCTGCAGACCTGCTTTTTGGATGGCGTCAGTTAAGGCAGTCAAGGTAGATTGTAGTTCAGTCTCATGTTCTGCGGCTGTTAGGATATCATCTATATGGTGATAGATGGTAGCTGAAGGGTGGAATTTTCGAACAGGATGTATGATGTTGGCTACCACTGTTTGACAAATCATCAGGCTATTTTTCATGCCCTGAGGCAGTACTATCCAGTGGTATCTTTGCATGGGTTCCATGTGGTTGTAGGCTGGGACTGAGAAGGTGAAGTGGGGAGCATCTTCTGGATGTAGAAAGATGGTGAAGAAACAGTCTTTCAAGTCTATTACCACTAGTGGCCGCTCTGCAGGAAGCATGTCAGAGGAGGGAAGTCCTGGTTGCAGCATTCCCATTGGCTTGATGGCTGTATTAATTGCTCTGAGGTCTTGTGGTAAATGCCATTTGCTGCTCTTCTTGGGTATGCAAAACACTGGAGTGTTCCATGGGCTAGAAGTTGGTACTATATGCCCAGTGTTCAGTTGTTCCTGTACCAGGTCTTGCAGGTGACTTAGCTGTTCCCTCTTTAGGGGCCATTGGTCCACCCATATCGGGTTATCTGTCTTCCATTCTTGTTTGATAAGTCCATGGAACGGCTGACCAATGACCCTTACTGAAAAACGTGATTATTTGTTGTTGTTATCTGTACAGTGGTACCAAACTGACTGAGGACATCCCTCCCCCACAAGGTACACGGAATGGGAGCTATGAAGGGTGCAATCCTGGCAGTCTGTCCCTCAGGCCCCAATACTGTATGTAGATGCTTGCTTTGTCTAGGTCTTTGCATACCCCCCATCCCCAAGATGGTTGAGGCGGGGAACACTGTGGGTCAGTCTAATGGCCACTTGGTGTCTTGTATTATAGATACGTCTGTGCCTGTATCCACTAAACCTTTAAATTTACGCCCATCAATGTGATGTCATCATGGGCTGGGAGGCGGAGATCGACTTGGCCCAGAGGATTTGTGGGGGACTTGTGCTTGCAAATGCCTCAGTACCCTTATTACCCTTTTGTGTGGGAGAAATGCTATGGAAAGGAATTAATTGGGCTAAGTGCTGCCCCTTTGGAATATAACAAGGTGGCACAGGTGTCCAGGCTATGATTTGGATTTCATTATGGGAATCTGAATCAATTACTCTGCGCAAGATGAATATACCCATCGTGGTAGTTGATGAGCACCTAATTAGTAAGGCAGGCATTCCCGCATCCAGAGGTCCCCAGACTCCAGTGGGTGTCAAAGCCACTGGAGTAGATGTTAAAATTATTGGTTCTCTGGAGGCCAAGTCCAGCCCAGTGCTGCCTGAGGTGGTGGTGAGCAAATCGCTGGCGCGTTGCTTGAAGCCATATTTGTCTGGTTGGTGAGGGCGTGTGGCTTTGCGCCCCATTTCCCGTTTCCCTGTGGTGTAGTCCCCCCATTTTCACCACCCCGGAACTTGCATTCGCTAGCCCAGTGTTTTCCCTTTCCACATCTGGGGCAGTATCCTGGAGGGGGTTTTTTAGGGCAGTGTTTTTTGATGTGGTCAGTTGCTCCGCATTGGAAGCAGCTGCCTGTTCACTTTTCCCCTTTGGGTACCCACAGTTTGGCTGCTAATGCCGTGGCTAGTGAGTCTGTGTGGTGATTGACTGACCCGACATCCTGGCAAGCTCTGACCATTTCAACTAATGTGCACTTGGGGATCGATTGCAGAACCCATCGACAGTCAGAGTTGGCATTTTCGTAGGCGAGCTGCCTGAAGAGCATCTCTCTCACCTCGTCGTTATCAATTTGCCTCTCTAAGGAAGCTTGCAGTTGATCTAGAAACGGGGGGGTAAGGTTTGGTGGACCCTTGTAAAACTTTGGAAAAGGATAGGTTAGGGTCTTTGTGCATGGGAGTTTTCGCACAGTTCGCAATACAAGCTTTGCGATTACTTCGTATATTTCTCGGGAACAGTCTATTTGGGACCCGACCTTTGAATGTGCCTCTTCTTGCCACAACCCGGGGGTAAGGAATGGGGTTGAGCACTGCAAAAAGGGTTCTTGGCACAGAGAGGTCCGGTGAAGCAATGCCAATCTTTATTAGGGGAGTAACAACTTATATAGG